TATATTCACTATTTCTTAGATTAACATCCATAGATTACAACAAATTAAATTACAAATTTTCAAAATTACAATTGAATTCAATTTTATTACGTTCTTAGTTTCTGATTTCCTTACAAACGCATTACCATTTTTTGTCCAAATAAATTTATATTGTTGTTCTTTTAATAATGTTTTTCCCTACCAAAACAGTTCTTTATTAGCAGCTGTTAGATTTTCATTTATATAAATTCTGCCTTCACCCATATTCTGTTGGATTTGACTTTGTTTAACCACATTCTTCTTATTCTTCATCCATTTTTCTTTATCCAAAACACTTTTCAATTTAACTATTATTGGCACTATCTTTTGACTATTATGGGCAGGTTTTCTATGAGCATTAACATTTCATCTTTTTTATAATTAGGTATACTAAACTCTTCAGCTACTTTGTGTAGAACATCTTTCAGTTCCTCATTATCTTGTTGTATTATTCCATATCTCTATATTGTTTCTTCGTTCATACAGTTCCAGATTATTAACTTAAATAATATTTTAGAAGTTATTGTTGAAGTATTGTTATACGTTCTTTATTACTTTCACACATAATTTCTAAGAAATCCTTTGGGCTATCTGAAGTCGTTCACCTTATTGCACTTAATAGGATTTTAACTACTACACATAACCCTACTTTTACGATATACAGACGTAAGATTAGTATACTAAATATCAAACAGCTACCGTATGGAAAGATACAATTGACATTATAATTATTAAGCTGTATTAATTATTAATTCTCACTTTTTAATATTTTAAGACAATATAAACTGAATTACGCAAACCGAACATCTATTATCAGTCGAGCAGTTTCGTACTATCAGTAATTTTTATAACAAAATTGATTACACAGTTTATATTTTACGATAGACTTTCTATATATATCTTATGTCTAAATACAATAAAAATGTACATCAATATACAATAAACTATATAAGAAATGAAGTGTAATATTTCTGAGGTTGTAATGCATCATTTGTCTTTGAGTAAAGAATTTGGTTGTGAAATAACTGACTTGTTTATCCAGTTTGCTATATTTGTGATAAAAGAATTTTGATGAATTTATTACTACTAAATCACATATTTCAGGTATCTGTTGGCTTTCAAAATTGGCCTGGCATAGCCTAGTGGTTACGACACTTGACTCCGAATATGCTCGCCTTTTCAGTTTTTGGGCATTATAAAGTGACGATCAGTTCCACTATTCTTTGATAAAAGAGTAACCCAAACATTAGTGGTGGGAGATGTTGACTAGCTACCTTCCTTCTAGTCTTATCACTGCTAAATTAGGGATGGTTAGTGCAGATAGACCTTGAGTAGTTTTACACAAAATTCTAAAAAAGAAAAAAAAATCAAAATTATTGCTCTGCGTCATTATGATTAGTAGTCTATATGATCACCTAAGTGTGTTATGAGTTGGGTGGATGTAGACGATTTGTTTTATCTTTCTTTTTCTCCTGTGTGTGGTATATTAGTAACATTCCATTTTATCATTGTGTTCTATTCCTCTAAGACGATGGCCTGCTGCAGATAGATCAGAATTACCAAGTTCTTTGTATCTATTATGCTCCTCAATTCTAAAATTTGTTGGCCTGCTTCTTTCTCCAATATATCGAAATTCACATCCACAAGGGATGTTTCAAGTGATGCTTTTCTTCTACATTGGGTCTTTACATGATTTGGTATGGAATGACTACGATTCTTTGTGTTGTAGCTTCTAAATACTGGTCTGAATTTATGATTTTTACATATCATCTCCATGTTCTTCGAGAGACCTCATCCACGGGGAAGTATGCAGTATGTCTGTAATTTTCTTCCTGTTTATTCATGGTGTTTATCTTATTTGCAAATATATCATGTATCCAGTGTTATGGAGTGTAGTAGTAGTTTGTTTTTGTGCATTCTTTTTATTTGATTCTGTACTAAAATTTTGTTCATTCTGGAAACTGTGCAGTGTATGACACATGTACTTACACTGTTGGGTTAGTTTGATATAGAGTCAAGGCATTTATCTGTATATGTGACCTTCTTTTGAATTCATGTGGTATACAAGCTATGTGACTAGGTAACTATCATGTCAAGTAATAGAAGTTTGTTATTATTTTCTATTTCCATAGTGTGAGATATTTACTGAACTCTTGAATCTTGTTAATAATGTGAGGCCAAATTACAAATTAATCATCAACTTATCTGAGCCAAATTGTGGGGCATAGAGTGGTTGTTTTGGTGGCGATAAGTTCGAAATGTTCCATGCAACGATTATTGAGTATAGAAATGTGTCCATGGTTAGGCTTTGTTATTCTTGGTAGTACTTATCTTCAATTTTAAAAGTACATTGTATTAATAGTCAGCAGACAACATCCTGCAATGCACGCTGCCATTGCAAATGACACCTTTAATATATCACAGAAAATTTGCTGAAATGAGTTCACTTTTCTGTTAGTATCCAAGTATTAGAAGTAACTTACTTGCTGAGCCTACTTTATTAATTTACGACTTCAGTTTGTGAATGAGAAACTCTCTTCTAAACTGAAGCTCTACTAGTTATTGGTTCTTGCTAAGATCTTAAAATAATCAGAATGACAACAACGTCACATTCACCTAGATAATGTTAAACTACTCTCCACAGTAGTAAGGGAGGCACTTTAGTGTACAAAGGATGCTGCCTCAGGCCATGAGGGGAAGATCAAAGGATGCCAACAGAGTCAACAAAGGTGACCAGGTCATAGTTCATAATTTTTTCACTAGAGGGTACAATGTGTGTGTGTGTAGTTCTAATTTATGTTAGCAGGAGGTACATCACTTGGCCGCCATGACAGGTGACGATGTTGTGCTAAAAGTTTGATATGATGTCATAGTGTTGAATTTATAGTTTGATACCAGCAAGATGGGCATAATGGTTGCGATAGTACGAGGAACTACAGTTACAAACATATTTAAACATGAAGCTATATGTATGTCTACCCGTCAACAAATACACAGCAATTTTTTTAATTTGCATTTTTTATCAATTTCCGTCCAGAGGACATGTACAATCTGTAACAATTTTGTTGTTATATATTTATTTTAATGTCAACATTTGTTTGGATTAAGTTTATATTTTAAAACATGCATAGCTTATAGTGTTAGATATGTATTGCGAAACTCCCGCCTATTCTCCAAAGTTGTAGAAGATTCTCAAGAGTAAGAATCAACAATATATGTGTTTACGTAAACACTTAAATTGTATGTTATGTAATCTGAATTTTCTAGAAAACATTCTCACGACTATAAATATAACCAACACGATGCGCCAAGGAGAGTATCTATTATTAGTTTGCTATAGTCAGTGTGCTATAAACCTAGGAAGCTATAACTGATTTTTATAACGCTTATCAATCGGAAAACTTCAGATATTTGACTAGGAACCTTTACAAAGTTCGAACATAACAAACCATTTAACTTCAGTGGATTCACATCGGACATTAATACTTTTACGAAAACATTACCTAATTTCAACAGTGGAAAACTCAGCGTGTGGCAAAGGACAAAGCTAGCTAGATTTCAGTTAACTCGCTCATCGTGAAGCCTCGATAAGATATCAAGGAAGTTCCAGGCTAGAAAGAAGACTTTATATTGTTTGTAAGTATGTGAAACTTTTGTTTATAAATCATTATTTGTAATAACTATTTGTTATAATTGTTATTGTAAATTGTACTTTTGTGTGCATATTAAAACGTATTTGTGTTAAAAAGAAAACTGTGTATATCAACCTTGTGGTCCATGATTTTAATGGTAAGGAAACAGTTTTCAATAGATATAATTCATGTTAGGACTTTGGTAAATTCTTATTTTCGAAAAAACATAAGAATTATACAGCTATAGCACATAATGTGAAAAATTTTGATGGTCACCTTATACTGAATTATCTTATACATCAAGGGATAAAACCAGAGATTATTGTAAACGGTGGAAAAATTATGATTATGACAGTCAAAAGTCTTGGAATAAAATTAATTGACAGTTATAATTTTAAACCCATGTCTATATCATTGTTTCCAAAAATATTTGGATTATAAGAACTGCAGAAAGGTTATTTCCCACATCTTTTCAATATTAAGTCCAATCAAGAATATCGAGGACCTATCCCGGATGCCAGTTTTTACTCTCCCAACATCATGTCAGCATCCATAAGACAAAAGTTCCTGGAGTGACACTGTCAGCGACGAGAAGAAGAGTACATCTTTGATTTCCAAGAAGAGATGTACAGGTAAGAAAAACTATTATCCTTGATTCTTATCAATTATATTTTGTTGTTCTCATGAAGGTGTATTGTTAAAAATAAAACTATTGATTCTCATTATCATTCTGTATTTTTCTTTAGAAACTGTCGATCAGACGTAGATATACTACAATGGCGATGTCTCCAGTTCAGGGATAAGTTTCTCTTAATCTGTGATGTAGACCCGTTTAGGTATACGACAGTTGCTGTTGTATGCATGTTTGTCTACAAAAGTAAGTTTATAACACCATGGTCGATAGCTCTAATACCTAACATGGATACTTTACAACAAACAACTGCAGTCAAGTAAGTATTCAATGGTTAAACTATATACAAAAATCTGACGGTATAAAGATTCAACATGCACTTAATGGTAGTGAGAAACAAATCTTTAATTATAGGATTGACAGTTTCTATAAGGAACAAAATACCATCTATGAGTTTTACGGATGCTATTATCATGGCTATGATAAATGTTATGATTCTCACACAAAAAATGTTTTAGATAGACCTATGTAGTTTATAAGAAATTGTAGTATTGATAGACAAAACAACTGGAAGGTCTCAGGAGACAAAGTCGTAACAATATGGGAGCATTAATTAAAAAAAATGAAAACTAATAATAATTATTTAATGAACTTCCTTAGAGATCACACCATAGTTCTCTGCATGGACGTACGAGACTCCTTCTATGGAGGAAGGGTTAATGCAACACGACTTTTCTATGATGCAAAAGACGTTGAAAAAGTCAAGTATGTATATTTCGTTTCTTTATATCCATTGACCAATAAATATTGCGAACATCCTGTAACACATCCTATAATTATAATGACAATTTTTTGCAATAAATAACTATTTTGGATTCATAAAATGTAAAGTTTTAGCCCCAAGAAAATTTATCATCCTGTATTACCTCTAAGAAGTAACGTGAAATTAATTTTCCCACTCTGTAAAACGTGTGTCGATTTAAGGACACCACCACCATGTAATCACTCGGATGATGAGATAGCTTTTATTGGCACATGGGTTACCGAGGAGGTGAAAAAATCAGTCGAAGGTAATTATAAGATAATATAAATTTATAAAATTTACCATTTCCTTGAAAGATACACAAAACTATGTGAAGATTATATTGACAAATTTATAAAATTAAAACAGGAAATTTCAGGATGGCCCACACACTGTGTTACATCAGAGGCAAAACAAGGATATGTTCAATGATATGCTGAAAAGGAAGGAGTGCAGCCGACCTCTGAAAACAGAATTGAATCCAGGCAGAAGGTCAGTTGCAAAACTATGTCTTAATTCTTTCTGTGGTCATTGGGATATGTCTGAGGACAAATCTCAGCTGACCTATGTAACATCTGTTAAAAAATACCAATCGAATGCTAACACCAAAAGTGTAGCAGGTATTACTTTAATTAATGATGACATTATAGCCCTTCATTTGAAACACAGACACGAATATCTGCCCCCAAAAAATCAAACCGACATATTTCTGGCATCATTCACAACAGCACATGCTCGTCTGAAACCATACAGCACTTTAAAAAGCTAGTTTTTGTATTATGATACAGAAAGTATTGTACACATTTCAGATGGACCTAACGATCCTCCTTTAGGAGATTACCTTGGAGAATTTACAGATGAGCTGGATGGACACTGTATAACATCGTGGGTCAGTGGTGGTCAAAAATACTTTCTATAGCACTTACTCATCCCAAGAAGATCTGCAGAAACTTGAAGACTGAGACAATTTACAACAAAGAAGAAAAGAATAATTATCATACTGTTTACACTAAACGACACATCCTTCCAGACTTTGACAACCTTCAATATGGATATTGATTTTCGCATCACATGGAACTAACTCCTTTCCATGGTCTATGATCCAAAAAGAGGGCATGTGCAGGGCCTTGAGGGTGGTTCTCAAGTATGGTCAAACATGAATTATATAAGGTGAGTCATGTTTAATTTTTTTTCTCATTAGAATTTGAGATGGATAACCGTCTACTACACCCTTTTACGTGTTTAGTGTCAAGTCCGACAGGAAGTAGTAAATCACAGTTTGTAAGTAAAGTTTTAACGTATCATCATGAAGTAATATATCATATTCCTGAAAACATTGTTTGATTTTATGGTGAATTTCAACCGTTGTATACAAAAATAATCGAAAATTTTCCTAGTATTCAATTTGTTGAAGGCTTACCTGAAACTTTTCATGATTATTTACATTATGGTAAACCAAATATTTTTATCATTGATGGTCTTATGAGTGAAATTGGAGAAAATAAACGAGTGTTTCAACTTTTTACTCGTGGAAGTCATCATTTAAATTTATCAGTATTTTATGTTGTACAGAATGTATTTAATCAGGGTAGAGAATTGTTTGTTTTGTTTGTTTTTTTAATTATGCACAAAGCTACACAAGGGCTATCGAAACCGTATTTTTCAAGCGTTGTAAGTCCGCAGACATACCGCTGTGCCACTGGGGGGGCTCAGGGTAGAGAAATGCGTAATATTAGTTTAAATTCTCTATATATTATTCTGTTCAAAAATATCAGAGACGAATCTCAGTTGAACGTTTCAGCAATACAAATGTTTCCATCACGTATCAAATATTTTGAAAAAGCTTATCGAGATGCAACGAGACAATTATATGGTTACTTACTCATCGATTTGAAACCTCAAATGCCTGAACAGATCCATCTGAGGACTGGACTTTTTCCTGAAGATAAGTTATAGTGTGTCTACCAAAGTAAGTTAAAATATTATTTAACTGAATATATATTCATTTATCATCATGACAGCAGCTGTAGTGGAAGTAGAAGGGTTTTATCTTAAGAAATAGCCATACGTAATTAAGGAACTTGTATTCATGTGTTTAGTCACTGGATACATAAACGTGTTTTTGTTTACATTTTCAAGTAAATATCTTTCAGATGTTAATCATTGTCAGTGTAATTGGGTGATGCAGCATATTCACAGTATTCCATGTAAATCTGGAAATATCAACTGTTCCTACCTGTGGAGTGTGACTAAATAGTTGAGAGATAACTTTACAATCGTTCATACAAACGGGAGAGAGAAAGCCGAAATATTGACAAGTTTGTTGAAAATTCATTGTTACAATCTGTAATTGTTTGGATGACCCAAGATTAATGGACTTCCAAAATCTACTCTGTCCTGCCCATTTCATATTAACAATTATGATCACTCTAGTAAGAAGAAAGTTGATGTTTTATATAAATGGATGTATCAATAAACAATTTTTGTATGTTGTACTCACAGTCTCTTTTCATTTAGTCATCATAGAATCAAACAACATCAAGAGTTGCTCCGCCCATTACTTAAAGCTACACGTAAACAAATTAAAGGGATAATTGCTGGAGCTAAAAAATGACTTTATATTGAGTATTTGTGAATGTGCTTTAAACGTTTTAAAGGGTAACGTCCCCATTACCAATATACAAAAACGGAAACTTAGATCACATAGATCATTACTGAGAGAGTTGGCTGTCAAGAAAACATCTGTTAAACAGAAAAGAAAGTTACTGATACAGAAAGTAGGATTTTTACCATTACTCGTAGTACCAATACTTCCATTATTTAGTGGTTTGGCAGGACAAGCTACTGGTAAACCTGCTGGAATATAAAAATATAGCAAAACGAGTGGTTCTCGTTCCTGAAGAAGTGGTACACTCTCATTATCAATCCAAAGTTTATGAAAGGCCTGTACATAAAATATTAAACTCTATAGATAATGATAGGAAGTCAGTCATACAAAATGATACATTACCCTTAGATGATAAAGCAAAGATGTTAAACCAACTGCAACAACGTCATCAAACCTTTCATTCACAAGCCATGGAACCTGTTAAAATAAGAATGGAATCGCCGACTCATGAAAAATTAGAGATCGTTGACAGTGTTCCTCAGAAATATAAAAAGAAAGTTGAAATCCTACTAAACTTGATACATTCCAGTGGAGATCTAACATGGAATGATCGTGGAGAATTTGTGATTAGAGGAATAGCTGTCCCAAACAGTAACATAATCGATCTAATCAACGACATGCTACGAAAACGAAAAAAAAATTAACTGTACAGGATGGAAAGAATTTGCATAACGACTATCATAAATATATATATATATATATGCCTCAAGAAGTTGGAAATGTAGACAGATGGAAGTATATGAAACATGATACACGTGACAAAAGACCTAAACGGGCTGCATCTAGATGGGATCATTTTTAATAAAATATTATTGTATTATTCATTCATTTGTGTCTTGACTGTCGTCATGGACTGTTGTCAACCTTTTAAGATTAGTGATATCCTGAATCGTCTAAGAATTAACATTGTATGTTGTAAAGGTCAAATAGAAACAGATATAATGGTAAAAAATTAAATATAAATAGACGGTACAGAAAATAGTCTAATAAAACTCTGCTATCTATATATTATAACCCTACACATCCTGCTAGTTTTGGTGGCATACAGACTTTATATAGATCTGTAAAAGCACTAGTCTAAAACAGGTTAAAGACTGGTTAATTCGACAAGATACATACACTTTACACAAACCAGTGAAATATAAGTTTTCGAGAAACAGGGTTATTGTTTCAGGGATTGACGAACAATGGCAGGCTGATTTGGTAGGTCTCTCTAACCAAAGTCAATATAACAATCAGTTTAAATATTTACTCCCGTGTATTGACGTGTTTTCTAAATGTACATGGGTTGTTCCAGTCAAGGATAAGAAAGGTGTAACGCTTGTAAAATCTTTCAAACAAATTTTAAATCAGGGTCGAAAACCTTGTAAACTTCAAACTGATTCTGGAACAGAGTTTACTAACCTTCTCTTTCAACGATATCTCAAGGAACAAGACATTCATTCCTTTACTACACATAATGAAACAAAAGCATCTATAGTAGAAATATTTAATCGCACTCTTAAAACTAAAATGTGGCGCTACTTTACTCATCGTAGAACTTATAAATATATCAATGTATTGAAACATCTGGTCAATGCCTATAATGAGTCGTATCATCGCAGTATTAAAATGAGACCAATAGAAGTTAATCATTCTAATCAGTCAGTTGTATGGAAAACACTTTACAAAACACCAACAAAAGTAAAATTTCAGTTCAAATTAGGTGATCAGGTACATATTAGTAAAATGAAGCGTCAATTTAAGAAAAGTTATATGCCCTGATGGACAGATGAAATATTTACGGTTTATCAGAGAATAGAGAGAAATCCACCAGTTTATTAACTGCAAAACTATCTCGGAGAAAAATTAAATGGAACATTTTACGAATCGGAGCTACAAAGAGTTATAAAACTGCAATACTGTTCTCATTATTCAGCATGGATCAGTTGTACGTAACGTCACCTAGTAACATTTGTATGAATTCTTTTGCTAATAATACTCTGACAAACTATATCACACATCTTCCTAGATCTATCAATCTTGAAGGATTGTGGGAAATTGCTATAGCCAAATGTCAGAGCTGTAAATTTATAAAATGCATCGGTACTTGCTCTGACCAACATAAAAAAAGCATAACATGGTAAATCACATCAGCATAACAAAACCAATCTTTTTTTAAAACTCAAAAAATTATGGAATATCTCATACAATGCAAAAAAGTGAAACCATTAGTATGTCGAACAAACCCATACAACCTTAGAGAATGGTTTAGTAACCACAAATCCTCTGCTACTACTAAAAAATACTTCCTATTGCTTTGCACTATAACCAGCCTGACCACTCTTATGTCCCTCTTAGAAACGTGTGAGACGCACTTCCGAAACAACGACCACACAACTGATCAACATGTTTATAATGGTCATTTGTTCATTATCCGTAAGTGCTCGGGTTTTATTGGGTTTCATTTTTTATGGTAACTTTCTCTGTTTTCCTTCATGCCCTGGAATATGATGATAACCGATACACCATAAATACTAGGGAGAGAAGTTAGTATTTAGCTATTTATATACGAAAGTTTTCATCAGGATAATTCGATTTTGATCTGTAATTGCGTCAGGCTGAATAAGTTGCAGTTTAATTTATTGTATTGTAATTTATCTTTTAACTTAATAAACATTTTTGTTCTATATTTTCCTTAAAATGCTGACGTTTTTACAATTCATATTTACAATAATCTCATTTTCTCTAACATTATAAAGCAGTGATGTGGGCAGAATCTCTGCGAGAAAACTGGATTAAGAAATGGAATAATTAATGAACAAGATGTAGGTGCACTTAGAAATAAATTGCGAGCAAAGGAGCAAAACGTTGTAATTCTAGACTTTCATTATTAAACGAATTACTACTTGAAATAGTAACCATATTTTCACTTCAAAGTGTCTGAGAACAGAACACTAAAGATATGACAAAAATCATTTGTATAATGTAGCAATGGGATTTTGGTGTCACGTAGAACATGAAAATTTAAAAATAATCAACCTTGAGCTTTGAGAACCAAACATTTGGTTGATGATAGTGGGCTCGCGAGAAAATAAGATCGGGAACATATGTCTTGGATAATCACAAATTGATCTGATGGACATATATAATATAATGATAAATGTTTTATCTATTGATGAGTTTTCTCAAGGAATCGTTCCTCAATTGACTGTTTTTTGTAAATAAGCAGAAAGCTACACAATGGGCTATCTGTACTTTGCCCACCACGGGTATCGAAACCATGATTCTAGCGTTGTAAGTCCGCAGACATACCGCTGTACCACCGGGGGCTCCTGAATTGAAGGAGAATGAACAAATAATTTGAATTGAACATTTATTCAATTGTGTTTCGTGACTTATGTGAAGTTGATATAATAGTTTAAAAACTGAACTACTTTAGAAGAAATTAGTTTTGTGTGTGTGTGTGTGTGTTTCTTCATATTTATGTGTCCCCATTTATGACAAAACATAGAGTTTCTGCCTTCTAGAGCTCGTGGGTGATATTCCTTACGATTCACGTAACGGGATTGGTGAGAGCTGACGTAGCTCAAATTTCTCAACTTGTCATATTGTGAGCTTTGTTACCTGATTCAAGCTTAATCTATTTTGTATTGCAACCAATTATGTAGCTTCCAAGTTTAAATTAATCTCACATAAATAACGAGCTTCATATTGATGTTGATCTTTATATAGTTTTTAGTTTAAGTGTTCGTATATGGAGAATTGATCGTACTTTCTAAGAACGATTTGCATACGATAATAGTACATTTTCAATTGCTTTGTTAACTGTGTAATATATATTTTAATGAAACTCTTGTGTTATTTCTATGATATTTAATGTTATAACGTTGTTAGACAGTTAGGGTCCCACTTACCAGGCACGCCGCCGGAGGGCCCACATCCATGTCGATCTCAGGCAGTGGGGATGGGGGGAGATAGAGACGATGACGTCATAATTCTACGAATTGTCACCTGTGCAACTGGGGAGGGGTGGAAATGATGATGTCACCAGAGAGGATGACGTCCATGAAGTGGCACCAGAGAGCACGTTGTTAGGGATGCATTGCTAAATCGCCATGACAAATGGACATGTCACCAGAGACGATGACGTCCAAGAAGTGGCACCAGATGGCGCGTTGCTAGGCCGCCATGATAGATGGACATAATGTCATAGTTCTACGAAGTGGAACCACAATCATGATGAGATCATCATACATGTCTCATGTATAAACACTAATCATTAGTTACTA